GTCTCAGAGGGTTCAGTCCACGGTCAGCTGCCTCAGTGGTCTCAGAGGGCTCAGTCCATGGTCAGCTGCTCAATGGTCTCAGAGGGTTCAGTCCATGGTCAGCTGCTCTAGTGGTCTCAGAGGGTTCAGTCCGTGGTCGCCTGCTCCAAGGCAGGAACATCATGGCCACAGGGTTTGGTGGAGGGAAAATGCTCACATCATGGTGGCCAGGAAGTGGAGGGGGCTGACAGGAAGTGACGAGACATGAGACATACTCCCCAAGGTGTTGTACACAATGTCCAAGACCCCTCGTTTCTTTCCAAGCATGACTGTGTTTTCGTGGGATTCCCACAGCCCCCCATTGTACCTAAGTTATCCGGCGACGGCGATACCTCCAACTTTGAAACGTACCCGGAGAATGACTGGGACCCGGCTCCTCCTGTGACAGAGAAAGATTTGGAAATCTTCAAGAATTTCTGAGGGTGGAAAGTCACGTCTGAAAGGTATGTCTTTATTTTTAGGAATTAGCAAAAAATGAGGTCGATGCTACCTCACATCAGGGTAAGGTATTTACAGAGTACAGAGTACATCTTTTTGTTCATTCAGGTAGAAATAAAGAAGCAGAAGAACTGAAAGTATAAACTGAGCATGGTGGAACATACCTGTAATCTCAGCTACTCGGGAAGCCGAAGCAGGAGGATCCTGAGTTTCTGGCCAGCTTGGGGAAGTTAGCAGAACCACCTCAGACTAGAAAACATTAAAGAAAAGGGGCTGGGGATGTAGCTTAGTGCTCCCTGGGCTCAATCCATAGTAGCTCAGACAAAAAAAGAGCATGCAGCAGTCCCATCTAATCTGAAGTGTTTGTACCAAAATATTAAATGGAAAATTTCAGAAATCAAAAATGTGTAAGATTTAAATTGTGGTTCTGAGTAGCACTACAGAAACTCAGGATTTTGTGCTGCGTTGTGGCTGGGAAATGAGTCAAGTCTTTCTCATATACACTACCCAGCCATTGGTCGCCATCTTGGTTATCAGACCATTTGTCATTGAATGGATACCATTAAGAAACCTTTCTGTAGTAGCTTAATGCTAGTGCCAAAGCATTGGTCATTCACCATGTAGGCTTGGTCCTAGCTCCCATTATTATGAAAACAAAGATGGCAGTAATTTACTCTTCAGGGAGACAAGACCCAGACATGGTGGCACATGCCTGAAAACTCAGCTACTCAGGAGGCTGAGGCAGGAGGATCGCCAGCTGAGGCCTAGCCTAGACAACTTGGCAAGACTGTGTGTCAAAATGAAAAATAAAAAAAGGGCTAGGTGTAACGCTCAGTGTGACAGTCCTGGGTTCAGTTCCTGGTAGAGGGAGACAGAGTAGGAGCACATTCACATAACTTATTAGACTGTTACATTCTACTGTTGTTAATCTCTTAATGTGCGTAACTTGTAAATTAAGCTAGCATAGGTATGTATATGCATAATATACCATATATGGTATGTAATATATAATATATACTAAAAACACTATACACAGAAGTTATTTCATTCATAATCCAAAGCACTTGTATATCAAAGCGAGCGAGAGAGAGAAACAGTTGTAATTCTGAAACATTCAGCATGACATGCTACTTGTATTGGAAGATCACGCTTGTTTATCAAGTTAAAATTTCTTAGAAATGTTTGGTCTTCTTGCGGAACACAGCATGTGCAATCCAAAGTTTGATTATATATGCTTTGGGACATTGTATTAGTCATCTTTCCATTATCTTTGTAAAAATACTTGAGGGCCAGGGATATAGCTCAGTGGCATAGCACCTACCTGACCAGCCCGTGAGGTACTAAGTTCGATCCCTAGTTAAAAAAAAAAAATACTTGAGAAAAATCAGCTTGAAAGAGGAGACTTTCATTAAGCTCATGGTGTCAGAGGGTTCAGTCCGTGGTCAGCTTCTCCAGTGTTCTCAGAGGGTTCAGTCCATGGCCAGCTGCACCAATGGCTTCAGAGGGTTCAGTCCATGGTCGGCTGCTCCAGTAGTTTCAGGGGGTTCAGTCCATGGTCGGCTGCTCCAGTGGTCTCAGAGGGTTCAGTCCATGGTCGGCTGCTCCAGTGGTCTCAGAGGGTTCAGTCCATGGTCGGCTGCTCCAGTGGTCTCAGAGGGTTCAGTCCATGGTCAGCTGCTCCAATGGTCTCAGAGGGTTCAGGCCATGGTCGGCTGCTCCAGTGGTCTCAGAGGGTTCAGTCCATG